AATAATGTTAAATGTAGTAATTAATTGGAGGATAAGCAAAATAAAATTTAAAAAAAGTTAAAAATGATTTTTATGAATAGATAATCTAGAGCCAGGATCTTTTTTTTTTTTTTTGTTTTTATTAAATAAAAAAGAAATTTTTTTTTCAGTCAAAGTCGTTTTCTAAAAGTTCTGACTGCGCTTAACCCCTTAAAGCTTTAAAGCTTCGATTTTCATTTATTTTTACTTAATTTCTTGCATATTTTTTTAGACGCCAAAGATCTCAAGGAACCGCAACGCGTCAAGACGTTGCGCCATCAAATCCTAAACAATCTGGAAGATTATGTGTCGGACCGACAATATGAGTCTCGCGGTCGTTTTGGCGAAATACTCTTAATACTGCCCGTACTGCAGTCCATCACCTGGCAAATGATCGAACAAATACAGTTTGCGAAAATTTTCGGTGTCGCCCACATTGACTCGCTGCTACAGGAAATGCTACTTGGAGGTATGTATGTCTAGTACACTCTAACATGCAACACAATATTTTCACACCATATTTAATTATGTAATGTATGACATCTTTGTAGGTGAACTGGCCGACAACTCACCACTCTCGCCGCCAAGCCTGAACAACTACAGTCCGACACGCAATATGGACGGCAGCCATGTGTCGTCAACACTGGACGTGCTCACCTCACCCACAAGCGCTGATCATTTGAGCGCCTGCATGGATAGCAACAGTTTGGATGCACAAATGATGTCACCATTACTGGAAAATATTGCCGCATCGCCACCACAATACAATCAATTGCGCTCATATCAGACACAGCGCCCACAACAACAACAACAAGCGGTCAACAACAACACAGGTACACCACTACATACACGCGGAATGCATTCACCACACCTCAATGACGCTGATGCGAACAATATCGACATGGTTAACGGCGCCGGCAACTCATGCATGGACGAGAATAGCATGTACAACACCAACAGCGTTATGCGTCCATTATCCACGAGCAGCGCTCACAATTTGCCACATATGTCATCACCGAATATGCAACAGCATTCACATGCCGCATCCTCACCAATGCAACATTCACCGCCGTTGCATCGCAATCATCCCTACCAAAGACCGGAGCAGTTGAATGCCGCGCAGCAACATAATAATGGCGCCGTTGCGCAGCAGCTACGCAATCCGGCTGAGATGACGTTAAATGAATATAATAGCGGCAGCGCTGAGGAAATGCTGCGTCGTGCGCCAATCAAAATACGTGGACCCGACGCGCTGAGCAGCGGCGCTGGCGGTGCTTATATGATGGGTGGCGGTTTGCATGACGCCGAGAGCGCGTATCGTCTAACATTGAAACAGGAACCGGAAACGGGTTATTGAAATATGGTGGGGGTTGCACGAAGAGTTACTACCATAAAGCTCTCTAGTTAGCGTTGTCAACTGTAAAGTCATATACATATTATATAACAATAAAAGTTAGTAAATAAGTGCGCTTAGTTGGGGTAGTGCAACTATTTTATGAAATGTCAATAGAGACGTCTCAACTTTGATGCCAAATTTGTTTTGCCGCCAATTTAACGGTACTTTAAGTCAGGTTACTTGAAGTCGCGTTCAACAGCGTCAACTAGCTACTTGTTGAGCGCTGAATTTAGCAATAAATATACTTTTATGCTTAGTCATCGTGTTGCATGGACTTCCATATATATATACATAACAAACAAACCTACAACAACTTATACGTAGCGTATATATTTTTGCAAATCGAAAAAAAATTTTATAAATTTAAAATTTATATAATACATATTATAATGGTAGAGTGTTTTTTTCATGCAAATTTATATTGTATAAGTTTACAATAATTCTTGTTGCAATCTTTGTTGCCTTTAACAGTTAAGTAGTTAGGTTTTATGGAAATTTTGTTGTTATGAAAACTTGTTACACAAATAAAAAATCGTCATATACATTTACTTTAATAGGGGTTAAATAGGTAAAATTTGTATAATCACAGTGGAGTATTTGTTGGACTATTTTATTTTTATTTTTTTTTCCTATAAATAGGTTAAGGTGAAAATTGAAATAAGCATTTACATGAAATATTTTTTACAATATTTGTACTGCAATGGATCAAATGTATCAATAATGTTTAAACTTAAAAGAAATAAATTAGTTTTACCGAAAAAAAATTTAATAACAATGTGCTTCTTAATTACAATATTGCATAGCGAGGAAGTGAGTGATTAATAACATACGATTTGCGTGCAAACGGCGTTGAATGCGCAAGAAAATGGCTAAAAACACATGTCGTATTTCCGTTGGAAGTTTTATAGCTAAATAATACGATTAATAATGCGCATATACATATACTGAAATGAGGTGATAACTAGATGGAAGTGCGCATTGCGCAAAAAATTTCAATATTATAATACTTAGAATGAACATAATCAGTAACTATCGGTGAAACGTACTTTTAAATCCCGGATGGGGCAATAATTAAAATTGTAGCAATTTTTTTTTTTTTTTTTGCAAAAATGAGTCGTTCTACGAATGAAAAAAGCTCAAAACTGCTGCTGTATTATAAATGAGATGAAGCTGTAAACAAGAATTACATAAAAATCCAAACTGCATGTCTTCAATGAGAACAAGGAAAAAAGTTCGATTACACTGAAGCTAGAATACCCTTCACAAACTAAAAAGTTTACATCCAATAACTAAATTTTGAGCGGTGAGTTTGTATGTTTATAACATATAAGGATACTTCTAATAAAGACTCATGCGAAATTTCGTCGTTGTTGTTGTTGTTGCAATGTTGCAATGTGTACCTAATCCCGTTATGATGGCAAGAATTTGGTAAGTCATCATCGACGTCAGCCAACGGTAAGCCCGTGAAACGGAGTCGGACCAAGGAGGTGACTAGTGTTAAGCGGGTACTCATTGCACTCTGGACATCTGCTTTATATGTTAGGGTCTATTCTGAATAAGTAGTAGTTTAATGTGCTACAGTATCCAGAACGAAGCTACGCAAGGATCATTCTCGTTTCGTGCGGCTACACAAATTCTTCGTCTGTATTGCGTGCTGATTTGACTCCAAGTACACCATTCACTGAGAGGGGGTCGGTGAAGGTGTTAAAGGCTCCATTGTGAATGACGCTCAGTGCATGTTTTAAGTTTGTTGCGTCCGAAGTCTGGTAGGTGTATTGTTTTATGTCGTCGACACAGTTGAGGAAGGACTTCTTGATGATCTCTGCGAAAGCGCTCCAGTAGAAATTGCTTGGAGTGGAGTTCATTAGGTTCCTTAACTGGGAGCAACCGGTCCTCACAATGCAAGTGTTCGATGGAAGAGATCAAAAGGCACCTTTTCGTAGTCGGGAGTGCGGTGCTTCGACATGTTTGTAGATAGATAGATAAATAATTGAGGAATGCACTGCGACCTTA